AAGTGTGGGGAAGAGTAACACAAGAGTTTAATACACTCATGGTTCTTCTCGCCGAGGTCCTGACTGGCACTTCTACAAAGGTCACGAAACTAAATAACAAATGCAAATGTATGCCCAGATCTGTACAACAAACCAAACGGACAGAGGTGCTTTTTCATGCCTCTCTGTAGTTACTGCAAGTGTGAGACTTAAGCAAATACTGGCGTCGGGCTGGAGGCTGTACAGCATGACGGCCTGTTCTCCCAGGAAGAAGTAAATTAGATTAAACTCTGACTAAAATCCTTCATTCTTAAGGCAAGAACAGCAAAGCTATCAAGATAAAGGAGCTAAACTTGAAGCCAGTACAGAAGACATGAAGAGATCTCATGAAAGAGGAAATGTGGACAGCTAAGAAGCGTGGAGGCATTCCCATCTGCACAAGTAATCAGAGCACTGCAAAGCAAAGTGATGCACGTTCCTGAGGTTAGCGGCTACCAGGCTCAGGCCATCAGGTGCTGAATGGACACCCATGTGTGAAAGGGATGCAGTCACTTGGGAAAACACTGAGATGCTGACTTCCAAAGCCAGGCACCCACGGAGGCCCCACAAAGCCATAAGCCAAACTCCCCAAACTTCTGCCACAAGCAGCTCTCCACAGACAGCTGAATAAACAAAGGTAGAGCAGATTGCTCATGATGGGGATTATGAAACACAAACACATAAATGGCCTATACCTACAATAAAAGAAAGGAAGAACTGTAGAAACAGTGTTGATGAGAAAGGAAAAGATGATGCCACGAAAAGGTAAATGTGATAATACACCAAATGTGATAAGACAGCTATGGATAGGCACACAGTCTGAGAAGTGTGCTGTGGTGAGGTATTGTGTGCAGACATCAGAGGATGTCCCTGCACAGCTAACACAGCCATGGCGTCACTAGTTATAGAGCTTCATGGTTCCGTACTCTACGTTGTCTACCATTGACCAAAATATTACACGGCACATAATTGCATAATGGCACTTTCCATCTGTTCACCTACTTAATTTTCATAGATCGATGTGAGGTAGGTATTATTGTCCTCATTTTGCAGGTAAGGAAATTGAGGCAGAGAGTTTTGTAACTTATGCTAAGCCAAGGTGTCAGGATCTAGCTGACAATTACTGTACGTTTATATGGTGTCAGATACTGCTACTACTTTGCTTCTGTTACCTGAACATTTTATAAAAATGTTCTTCACAAATATCTCTCTCTCTGTCTCTCTGTCTCTCTCTTTCTCTCTCTGTCTCTCTGTCTCTGTCTCTGTCTCTCTCTCTCTCTCTCTCTCTCTCTCTCTCTCTCTCTCTCTCTCACCTGGCAGATCTTCCTTCTTCAATTTGATCCCAATGAGTTAGGACTAGGAAATCCAGTTAACCACATACTTTTGCGCTCTTCTCCCAACCCCTATCAGCTGATAGCTAGATCCCCATTTAAGGGCTCTTCTGACCCATTTCTCACTAATCACCTGGAAACTCAACATGGGACTCACTGCCAATATTCTAAGTCTCTGAGGCTCAAAGTTTTTGCGATGCTATCAGCTGCTAGGAGACCTGAAAATGCAGAAAGTCTTCGGGGGGTGGGGGAGCTCATTGCCCCGCATCTGTTACCTAAAGGGAGGAACTCCAGGAACTACAGGGCCACTCTTTCCTGCCTGCCAATAGTGCGTCTCAAAGATGATGCTTGGAAGTCTGCGGTTCCGCCTTGTGGGTGGGGAAGGGAATCGAGGCGGGAGCTCCCCCACATGGCTGTGGAGCACTGGACCAATCCCTTAACCCCTTGGGGACTCACTTCCATGTGCACTTCTGATCTGTTAATGAGTGCCTCTAGGGTCCCCTGTGCCACACTTGGGCTTGGGAAGCAGGTGTGAGACACAAGTGGCCTGAGAGGAACTTCTGGCCACTGAAACACCCCATTCTCTAAGCAGAGGGCTGTGGATGCAGGCACCTGAGTGGGGAAGCAGTGGGTGGGTACTGGAAGGCAGATGTGGGAAGAGCTGGCAGAGGTGGGTAAGAGGTTGGGTAAGAGGTCAGTTCTACCTAAAGACTTCCTGGCTCTAACCTTCATTAGCTCTGAGACATCAGGCAAGTTACCCACCCTCCTAAAGAAACACTGCCTCATCTCCAAACAGACTAGACTTCTTCCATTTTCATTTTGAAGTATCAAATAAGATACAGCATATTAAAGAGGCAGTCAGGCTAGATAACTGTTCCCTGTCCTCCTCCTCCTCCCCTTCTGACACTTACTAACACAGAGATTGTTTCTCCCTGAGGCAGGGCACAAGGCTCTATGGAGCAGGAAGAGGTCTCTTCCAATCTGGCCTTGCCCTGGCATCCTCTTGCCTTGTGACAGTTCCTAAAGATGGTGGCATGACTTAGGGTGATGACTCTAGGCCTGTGGAAGTACAACTGACACTGACGTTTCTAAATGCACTGAAGTGTGAGGGGGGTAGCTCAGCACAGAGCCAGAGAGAGGGGGAGAGCACTTAGAGAAGAGGAAGATGCTATTAATAGATTCGGGGTGAGAGCTTAAGCACACATGGAATAAATCTACCAGGAGCTAAACAATTGTGGTCCAGATGTTGGATATGATTGATAAATGGTAAAAGTAAAAAGTCCTCCTTATGTATGAAGAAACAAAGGTCATTTTTCTGTGTTTTTTTTTTTCCTGTGGCCTGAGGGTGGAGCAGCATGTAGTGCCAGAGATTGAACTGTGGTCCCTGCATTTGCCTAAGTTTACCTAAGCAGGCGCTTTAGACCGCTGTGCTATCTTGCCAGCCCAGCATGGGTCTTAATATATAAATTAAGCAAAATCTTTGCAACATATGACAAAGGGCTCTCAATATGCTGAGACAAGTTTTTTTTTTTTTTTTGGCGGAACCGGGGATTGAACCCAGGCCCTTGCGCTTGCTAGGGAAGTGCTTAGTCCACTGAGCCATCTCCCTGGCCCAGGGCTCTCAATATGCAAAGCACTTATAAATCATTAAGATGATGAACAACAGCAAAATAAAGGCTATGGATAGCCTGTTCAAAAGAACACAAAAGACACAAGTAGACAATAAGCATAGAAAGAAGGTCTTTCATAATTCAAGAATTAAAATGAAAATAAGCTACCATTTGCACAAAAATAAAGAGCTGGACATAAGCAGTACTGCTGAGGGTATGAGGTGACTGTGTAACAGTCACTAGACTTATATGAGGTATTTTTTTTTTTTTTTTCTTTTTTGCAGTACTGGGTGATTGAACTCAGGGCCTTGCGCTTGCCAGGCAAGTGCTTTTTCTACAGAGCCATCTCTCTGGCTCCTTTGTATGACTTTTGAGGAGGCATAATTAACACATTTTTTTGTTTTGGTAGTACAGGCTGGCCTTGAACTCACTAAGCAACCCAGGCCAGCCTCAAACTAATAGCAGTGTTCCTGCCCCAGCTTGCCAAGTGCTGGGCTCACAGGTGCACACCACCAAGACTTGCTAATAAGTTAATTCCTAAAATAAAACGTGCATACGTTCTGGTTCACTGATAAAAATTCTCCTACACATATATAGTGCATAAAGTACTAGGCTCAAGGTATGCAAGTGTGCACTTAGAATTGTTTGTAACAGAAAAGGGAATAAAGGACAGAAAGATGATGCCAAACTATCAAAGAGCTGCAGCCTTCATACAAATCTGCATCACTGAAGAATGTTCTACTGGGTGGTGCTAGTGCAAAACTAAAGGTCTTGAGAGAAATTTGACCAAGAAACACCATGCTGATGTCAAAACACCATTCTGATGTCTTCATTGACCAGATCAAAGATAAAGGAAGCCAAAGATTGTACTTTGAAACAGAAGGCAAAGGAATGAGGCCTCGTGTCTGGTGAGTTGGAAAACTTAATTTTCTCAGGAAAGACACTTCCTTTTAGAGGTCACGGTGGATCAGAGGGAGGAGGGAAGGAGGTGGTGCAGGAGACAGGACAGAATTGGGGTTAAGGCTTCCCCACAATGAAAAAAAACACCGTGCCCTGATTGGACAGCAGGAAGTGGTCAGAGGCACTCGCACAGGGGATGCGGCTTGCCTGGAGTTTTCTGGAACTTCCCTTGACTCTGACCTCCTTAGGCTTCTCCTAATCTGATTAGTAAAAAAAAGCTTAGACATCTAAGCTTTAAGAGATTTTCAATACCTTTCTCAAAAGGAGAGGTGTTCTTAAGGCTTGTTTCTTCTAAAATGTAGAAGTGAAGTGAGGGGAAGCCATTGAAGGCAGCTGTACCTCTCACGCTAGCTCCAGGTGCCCCTCGCGGTGTGCCGCATGGCAGTGTACCCTCTGCATTTTCAACAGTGTCTGAAAAAACACTGGGCAGGTTCTGCCCGCCCAGGTCCTCTGAGGTGGACTTATAAACAGGACTTTAGGAGCCTGGCAACTGCTTGGTGTCTTCTTCTTCAGAGCCAGGTGGCAGAAAATTTATCAGATTACAGTAAGGTGCTGCTTAGGAACTGGGAAGCAGGTTGAGTCTTGTGTGAAAGGGCTCATTATGAGAACAGAGGAGAGAGCAGACTCCAGGGAGCAGGGGGAGGGGCTTCCCGGGTGGCGAGTGTGGGATCGCCCCTGATGTCTCATTGCTTGCTTCCAAGATCAGGTGACTTTGGTCTGGTGACCCTTGCCACACTGGGCCTCCATGTCTTTTGTGCTCTGCAGATGGTGCTTTTCCCCAAGCTGAAGACCTGTGGCCACGCTGCCGGAAGCGAGATTCTCAGGGCCATTTTCCCAGTGGCTCGGACAATCATCATGCGTGACAGTGATTTTGAAATCAAGTGTGTTTACTCTTATGCCAGAGTGTGCTACTGGGTGCGTTGTCAGCCCTACTGCCCTCTCCTGCTTGTATGCAGCAGGAAGCTACAGCACTGGTGTGATGTGCTCCCTTGCAGTCATCTGGAACTTAACTGGCAACATCCCTGAGGCACACGGTACCCAATAAACACGCGGCGAATTAATGATGAGGACGCAGGCACTCTGAAGGCGTAAGTTCCTTTATTGAAAATATTGGGGCGGCACTGCATTACATATAGTCAGTATCCATAAATGAAGGGCACACATTTCCGATGGGACAATACTGCTTTAGGTAGAGAACACAACAGCCGGAGACGCTCTCGGGAGTACAGGATCACGGCCTGCACTAGGAAGGGTGAGCTCTATGCGAAATGACCGTTGTTTGATAATAGCACATGGCTGCGAATGGCAGGAACGGGCAGCATGGCCACCAGGCGACAGTCCTGACATCTCACAGGACTCAGTGCCCAGGGAGCACGTCGGCGGAGCTGCCAAAGGGTTGCCCAGAAAAGATCCCAGCAGGAGGACTGGGCCAAGAGGACGCCGGGCCACAGAGCTGAGAGCTCACACCCAGCCTTCACCTGAACGCGCATGGACTGTCACATGGTCACTGCCGGCCAACGGCAGGTTGCTGGCTGAGCAGTATGTCCTCTGGCAAGTTATCACAAGTAGAAGAATAAAGGAATAGTCTGATTTTTTTTTAAATGAAGACATATAAATACTGCCTGTTATTAATTTTTCCTTGCAAAGATCACTGGGGAAATAATTTGTGACAAATCACTTCTCAGCTTTGGCTGTTACTCAATTTTTTTTTCATTAGTAATCTTTGGTTTTCATATAAGTCCGACAATAATATTGGTTAAGGTTTGTTAGGGTGTAAAAAAGTTGAAAGCTAAAAAATAGTTGTTTTAAAATTCTAATTTTGATATGAATACATTTATTTATTTATTTATTTTTAAACAAGAATTTTGAAGCCAAGACAACTGGTCCGATTGTACATTTTGACTTTAGACGTGTGGAAATTAAAACACTTGGTCTCTTTTAAAACGGAGGCCTGCTCATTAATGTAAACAGCTGGGAGTGGGCTGCGCACAGCAGACTGGGAAGGAAAGTGTGTTGCCAGCACGCACGCACGCACGCACGCCGCACGCACGCACGCACGCACGCAAGCTCTTGGAAGGAAAACATTTTCTTTTCAGAAGTAGGGCTTGCGCTAAATCTCAGTTCACAAAGGTAGTCATTTTTATAAATATGAACTCAGTGATGATAAGAAATGGCATTTTTCTGCTTTACACTTACTTGCTCAAGGTAAGTAATTTAAAATGTATCCTTTTAAGGACAAAAAAAATCTGGCTTACATAACAAGCAATGAACCTTGGTCATGAGCTTTTGAAAGTCCAGAAATACTAACATTTATCACCCTAAACAATCAGGGCAAAAAGAAAGTCAATATAAAACTATATAAAACAAACAAACTTGTTCCCCAAATGTAGCACAGCATGTATATTTCAAGATTTGACACAGTAAAAAGGAAAAAACCTGCTAACACATTTTAGACAATATACTAGATATAAATAAAACATTTAAAAAATCATACATTCCTTTTAAGTGCTATTTCCTTTCAATTGTTCTAAGTCACACTAACCATGGCAAACAACAGCTGTACATTTTGGTAATGAAAAGTATGCTGATAAATACACAAGGCATGTATATATTTCCACAGTATTTTTTTTCACAGTTACCAAAAATAAAAATTGCATTCAACTCATACATCTATGAACACTCTGATTCCTCGTATGGATCTGGAAGAGGTGAAGTGCCAAGTCTTCTTCACCGATCAGGACGTCGCAGGGCTCTCTCCAGCGTCTGCCCTCCACACGTACCTTTCGGGGTCTTTCTGCAAGGTGAGCATGCTCAGAGCTGACGGCAGAAAGAAAGCATCGTGGCTGGATGAGGCGGCGGGGGCTGGGCCTTCTGCATCTTCCAGCCAGCTGAGGAGGATGGTGCCAACCCTGTCTTTTTCATGGAATAGTTTAAGGCAGTCTGAAATTCACTCGAATGTCCATACCTCTAGGTCCTGAACTATGAAGTCTTCCTTTTTGGAAAGAATATCATTATTGAAAGTGCTGCAGGAGTTGCTTCGCCCATGGTATAAATCAGCATCGAGCCATAGACCAAATCGTCCCCTGCAAAGAGGTTAGCGAAAAAGGTGACTGCACTGAGCTCCCACACAACGTCCTCCTGTCTTCTCTCTTTAATGGACAGACAGGCACACCTCTAATGTGTGCCCAAGGTGAGAATTTCTTTCTTTTCCTTTCCTTCAAATAACCTATTTTTCCTAAAACACAAAGGCAGTAGTCTCTTTTAGGCATGATCTCTGATTCTTACTCTCTGTTGTTAGTCCACAGTCCTAAATAAGCTGAGCTGTATAAATTCCCCAGAACTGCGGACAAGGAATTCTGCTGGGCCCAGCTATTCCCTGTCTACTCTACTCTGTCCTCAAGGAGCAGAGGACATTCTGCTACAGCAGTGCATGCACACCATGGTTACGGCAGCACAACTCATGGCCGCTAAGCCTGGAAGCGGCCTAAGGTCCAGCAGCAGATGAGTGGACACGGAAGCTCCGGAGTGCACATGCAATGGAGCACTGGTTTGTGATGAAGTCTGAGTCCTCTGTAGGAAAATGGGCACATTTTAAGATCAGAATGTTACATGAAGTAAGCCAGACACACAGGCTTAAACACGCATGGGTTTCTTACATGGGAAACCCACGGTGTGAATAGAGAGCAAAATGAGAGACGTCAGGAGAAAAACAGAAATAGCAAACAGGGAGACGGAGCTTTTGCATATGGGAAGGGAGCTAGATACAGAGGGAACAAAAGAAAAGAATGAGGGTGTGCACATGCACACCAGCTTTCAACGAGGGATCTCCGTGATTTACAAACGTATTAAAAAAAAAGACCCTCTCGGCTTAAGTGCTAAGACAGCGGCAGTGACAAAAACCTTACCCTCCACCACCAAGTTCTAAAGAACTTATGTCTCCATTGATAAAATACGAGTTTTCTCCACTCCACTTGAAGACCTAGGGAAGAAACACAACACAGAACAAACTGCTTAATCTGGGGGGTCAGCCAGAACATCTTTAAAAAAAAAAAAATATTTCGTCTTTTTGAGACAGGGTCTCACTATATATTCATGCTGGCCTTGAGCTCACTCTGTAACCCAGGCTAGCCTCGAACTCACAACAATCCACTTGCCTCAGCCTCCCATGTGCTGGGATTACAGGCATGCACCACCACACCTGGCCAGAAGGCATTTTGCTAACACACCACATCTCCCACTAGCTACGATGTGGGAAAGACCTCCTGGCTGCACACCTGCTGAGCTGAGCTCAGATGAGTGCCTCCCTCCCCGGCCTGGGGCCCTAAGTTTACAGAATCCCCCCATGGGGTCCCTGGGAGCTGCTGTCACCCCACCCCTAGCTGGCAATGTGACATTGAGAAGTTAAATATTCGTCCTCTGAGGCATCCACTGTACCTTGAAATTTGGGCTAAATGTGTAGAGAAAAGTCTCTCCTGTGCCATAATAGTGGTCACTGAACTTGAAGGGGTGAGTTGCATAGGCTCCGAAAATCTGCCAAAAGAAAAGCGGGCTGTCACTTGCTTTCAAGTCTAATCTCCCCATGAAAGGCTTCCTGAAGGGCTCTGACGTGACCCAGTGCTGAGGTATCATTCTACCTCCTTTAGTCAAGATTACTAGAAAGTGGGAGCTCTTCAGAAAAAACCTCAGAGCTTCTGGTGGAGAAAGAGGTGAAGGGGACCTGCATAGAGTAGCACTGAGGCTGGGCCCCCACTTTTTGCTGCCTGTTCTCAGACTGGAGCCTTCAGCTGGGAGATGTTCAAAGCAGGGACAGGGTCTGTCCTTGGTGCCAAAGAATCTCACTTATTAATGAGATTTATTACATTTTCCTGAATAAATATTTTTTCTCTTGCTGTATGCCCTTAGGACAATTTCCAGAGACTCGCAGGGACTGCTGCTCTGATTCCTGCCAGTTACGGTTTTCACTTGGGGCTGATTCTGCAGAGCTCCTCAGTGCTGCCTCTCTGCATGATTTTTTTGTGAAACCTGAACATGACCACCCACTTTTAAATAAATTTACAGGTTTTGTTCTATCGCGCTTCTAACCAATCATGTCTCTCTCTTTGGACAGCAGGGGAGGGGAACAGAGCTGGAGTCCAGGTGTCCTCACCCGGCACCAAGATGGCCAGGGCCGTGGCTCACAGAACCCCACTTCCTGGCATATGGCACCCTTTGGCTGCTGGAGCTTTCCTGGGTGGTGAAACTGGGCTCGTTCAAGGCGGATGACGTTGCTCCCCAAGCCTGCCAGCTCTGGGAAGAAGCAAAGGGCCAACACTAGCTGTGGGTGTGGACCTGTGTCTGGCCTGGTGGCATCAGAGGCAGCAACCAGCTTCTCCAACATTTCATTAAATCTCTAAGTAATATTGAAAACGCACGTGTTGTAACAAAACTTGTTCTTTCTGCGGTGCTGGGGACTGAACCTAGGGCCATGTGTGTGTAAGGCACGCGCCCTGCCACTGAGCTCGATCCCCTTTCCTGGTGCTTGGCTTGGCCACAGCAGGCAGGACCTGTGGCCTCTGTCCTAGCCACTGAGCAAGAGCCCTGGAACAGCCCCTGAATTTACTCTACAACTATCTCAACACCCAGCCTTGCTTTACCCCAAGTTTTCCAGCTTTAGGTTGTTGAATACAATTACAGTTTTCTAATCCATGACTGGCGTAGGGACAGAAAACTCGTTAGAACGTGACCATGTCTGGGCATCTGTTCCAGTTTCTTTTCACCCCCAAAATACACGGGTGATTTACTTCAACAAAGTGAACTAGCAAAACCCATCTGAGTGAGGCGAGGGTACTGGACGCAGGGCTCTATCCGGTGGAGGGGCAAGGTGACCATCAGGCAACCACCCCACCCGGGTGTGGGCCGCACCTGGTTATCCATGTCTTTGATGACCAGCAGCACAGGACTGTCCAGCGACGCCGACTTCCGGTAGAGCGTCTTCAGGCTGGTTCCGTGCTCCAGTGTGCTGTAGGCCAGCCTCCACGGGTAGCCTTGCACCCGCGCAGGGAGGCGCCGGGCCAGCTGCAGGGCCAAGGGTGCAGAGGTCACCAGACAACTCTGGCACAGATCACACAAACTTGCAGTACAGAACAAGTGTCCGTAGCTCACACTCATAAGCACAAATTCACGTGCACTCAGCTCCCTCTGCCAGGCCAACACTTGCCCCCATAAAGAGAAGGAATGTGATTCACCGTCTGACTGCATGCCTTTCGGCAATGACACACATGGGCCCATCGCCGACTAAAATGCACACTTGAACACACACACATCATGCCAGACGAACAAGTAGGGCCTGGGAAGCCTTACTTCATACTTCAACCCAACGTTTACTAAACAGTGGTGCCTGCTTTTTAAAATTGTCCTTTGTTCATGCTTATGCCAGGCATGATGGCACGTGTCAGTAATCCCAGGACCTGGGAGGATGGGGCAGGAAGATCACTAAGTTCAAGGCCAACGTGACCTATACTGTAAAAAAATACCTACACAGACCCAGAGCTGTTCAGGAACTGCAGCTTCCCTCCGAGGGGAGGCAAGAAAACGTGCACACTTCCTGCTGCAGGCAGAGGGAGCCTGTCCTGAGCACCCCCAAGACGTTCTTCACCTGCATCACTGCTAGCTGCTGCAATGCTGGCGATGCAAAGCTCTCAGAGGAGGCCACGAAGGGCTGGGTCTCGTGCTGAGTGAGCCCTGCAGGGGCAGCTAACTTGGCCACAGCTGTGGGCTTTCCTGGCTTATCTGTAAACTGAGGAAGCTGAGCTGAGCATTCCTTAAGGTCTCTGAAGTTCAGGTTACTAAACTACCTGATGACAGAAGCCGTAAGCGATTCCCTACCAGGGTCAGCTGTGAGTGCACTCATTACAGTTCACATCACTGAGTGATGTTCACAGAGTACAAAGCACACAGAACAAGGAAAATCCCTCCTAAAGGCAGATGCTTCCCTCTTACAGAGCAAGGAAGCGTGCTTGCTGCCCTGATTTTCCTCCATCTGAGCCACTCCCACCCTGGAGCCAGCCCACCCATCACCATGGGACACAGCTGGGTGGCTCAGGTCCTCAAAAGGTAGAGCAGGGTTCCTCCAACGCACGGGACAGGACAGGCCTTTGCAGGCTGCCACGTCCTCTTGCAGGGGCAAACGCAGCTCTAGCCTGGAGGCGTCAGCCCAAGCCCTGGGAGTCACCTGCTCCACGTGCACATTCTCCAGGAGCGCGCTGTGCGGCTGCAGCACGGGCAGCCCCTCTGCCTCCTCCTCGTCCTCGAAGTCGCTGCACGCGCTCTTCCTGCGCTTGGCCTCCTCCACGGTGATGATCTAAGTGTAGCACAAACCAGCCCAGGACAGGGTCACTCACTGGTCCTCAACCGCTGAGCGCAACCTCGCCCACTTTCATCAGTTCCAAGAGGAGCTCTGGGGAAGGGGCTGACGTCCCCATTCTAGAACAGGTGCAGAACCGAGCGAGGGCTCCACAGCGGGCCTTCCACACACATGAATTAAAGAAAGCCAAGCACTTTCCTGCTCTTACTGCAGCTGACCACTCCATCCTCAGGGAGAGCTGCTTACCACCTGCAGGTAATTTATACTCTTGCAAATTTATACTTATTGCAATGATTCCTCGTTAGCCTCTTTCTAAATTCAAGGAAATAATTAGAAAGCACTCAGGGGGTAAGTCTTCTATAAATATGGAGTTTGAAACAATAAGGAAAGCTTGTAATCAAGGTTGCTGTTTTCCCTCAAGGCTGTGCACTTAGCAACCATGTCTGATAGAAATAATACATGATAACAGCTGCCAGGAACGGGAGAGGCCTGAAGATCCACTCTAAATCACAGCGAGGTTACGAGTCTTTATGGACAGCTCAAAATGAACTAAAGTATTCTTCCCTTCTAAACTGAAAAAACATGTTGTACACATTTATTATTTAATTGAAGCTCTATTTATGAACTACCAAAGTCGTCCTCACCTTAAAATCTATTTTCCCTTCTTATATGCTAGATAAACCACTAAATTATTTAAAGTTAAATTCCACTAGACAACAGACCACCAAAACAGCCAGGAACCAACAACAATGGCTTTGGTGTTACAGAGCAAAAGCAGATGTTACACCTAGTGAAAGTTGTCGGAGAAAGTATTACTCAATTTCCAACCGCACAATGACGGGTACAGAGTGCCTGCTGTTATCTGAGACAGATTTCTGGCAGGAAAATAAGCTGATAAATTGTACCATCTTCTGGAGAATTTAGAGAAAATATTTTCAAAGTATCACAAAAGCCATGCTTTAAGTGCACTGGACAAAGCCCCGTGTTTTGGGTGAACTCCCCACTTCACGAATGGCACAATAAGGCTGTGGAATGAAAGACCTCAAATGTGGATTCCGGATGCTTACGGAGGGGCACCACAGCCAGCACCTCTGCAAGGAATCAAGTGACCTGCACCATCCTGTGGTAGCCCCGGGAGTGACATCGCCAGCACCTGGCTGTCCCCAGGCACATGCCAGCCACCCTACCTTCACGAAGGGCTCCTGGTCAGGCCTGGCACAGTAGAAAATCTGCATGTTCACAGGCAGCCGCCGGCCTCTCATGGTGGGAAGAGGTCTGCTCCCTCTGCAGGGAGGACCGGGTCTGCTCCTTGCGCCTCCACACCGCGGCCACTCTGGGCTGCAACTGTTTTTAAGTATCAGACTTCCTGCATGATTAGGTTTCTGTTTCCCTTAGGAGGGGTTTCAACAGTTCCACAGGAACACACCCAAATTAGGACTTAGAGCAAACAGACTTCCTGCCAGGCGGAGTGGGAGACTGTAAAATGACACTTTCACCTTTGAAACCGGTGGTTTCCTAGCACTACAATTCAACCCTATTGTTTGAGTTGTTTTTCCTCCTACTTTTCTTCCCAGTTGCCCTTGGGCTAATGCAGCTTCCCGCCCTGCCTTTTCAGTTTCCTTCCAGCACCTTCTGGTAAATCTCCATTTTGAGGGTTTCATCTCCTGCCTCGGTTTGAATCTCAAAGGTAGAGCGGTTACCTGGGCAGCCCCCCTCCCCCGCAGCTAGAACGTCACCACAGCTGGGCTCCCTGAGGAGCCAGGGACTGAAAGGACAAGACCCTGCTTTACCCTAACCTTTACCTTTACCTTTGGTATCCGAGGGGTCACCCTCCCTGCGCTGTGGCAAACCGAGGCTTGCCCTTCAAACCTGTCTTACTGGGTACCGAGCAACACCTGTCCATCTGTCTGCAGAGCAGATGGTGTGGGCCAGCAAGGAGGCAGAGCGCCTCTGGGTCCATTTTCAAGATCTTCCTGTGAATTTTTGAGATCTCAGTGGCCTTGCAGGTGTGGGGACTCCAACGAATGTGGTGCTAGTGTTATAGAGAGCTAAATTAGACAGAACTATTATAGGCGGTCAAACAGCACTGGCCTCGAAGGAGCCAGTGCCGAAGACCGTGCATGCACCTGTGGGGGAGGTGGAGCTCTGCTGGGGGCCAGAACGCAAGACAAAAATGAAAGCAGTGCATCCCCATATGGGATCCCCAAGGATAAAGGTCAGGGGCTCACAGTCCTAACTGGTACTGATCACCTGAGGAAGCCGGAAGAGCCCCTGACTCAACCCCACAGGAAGGCCCTGGCCTGAGTCTGCTACGTGACTGCTAATCTTGGTGGCTGACCAGCCTGTCCCGCCTCATGCCCACCTGCCATTTCCCAAGTTTCCCACCTAGGACTGCCTGATCTCGTGGTTTTGCGCTATACATTCCCTAGAAAAGGCAAGGTCCCTTCTGTTGCTCTCTCAGATGCTGTCTTTTCACAATACAATACATATGTCCTGCTCTTAAACTCTGCTGTTCCTAGAATTCATTTTTCAATTTTAGAGAACACAAACTCATACTGGGCATCCGGCAGGCTGAGAGTTTCTTTCCCTGTGTCACTACCGCATTGCCACAGTAGCCAGGCTGTAAGACGGCTGGTGGCAGCTCAGTGACAGCGCTGGGTGAGAAGCACACTGCACCCTGACACAGACAGACGGTAGAACACACAGCCTGGCTGCGCCTCCTGGGAACACCCTGGGACCCCACAACTATGGCTTCAGATCACAAGCCCTCTCTCTCTAGCCCACACATTTCTGTGAGGGCAACGCTTACCTTTCTGTCTAGTAAATAGCCTTACGCCACTTGCTGACATCTGGAAAGTTTTTTTGTCGGGGGGGGGGGGAACAAAGTCAGGGACCTGGGCTGGGCTCCTTATCTCAGCTTTAATAACTTCCAAGGACCCTGCCTGGTGACACACAGAGGTGTATCCAGCCAGGTGTCCTGTGACCATACATTTGCCAGCTGGGGCATCGGTGAGGCCAGAGGGCAGGCATGCAGAGCGGGGCTCTGGCTCCCTGGGGCTGGAGTGAGCTGTGGGGCTCAGGAAGGACATGGACTTCCTCTGGCTTTGCTCCTGTGTCAGACCTCCTAAGAGACTCTTCAGGTGGGGACAGGACTTGATATTTCTGTGTCCCTAGCCTGGAAGACCAATGTCACACCACCTCGGCCCTCAGGGCTCCAAGGAGCTGGAGACCAGCATCTGGAGGAACCAAGACCATGGCAGTTCAGGGACAAAGATGGCAATCAGTTCTTTGGTGATGCTGGGGGTGGTGTGTGTGGCACCAGAGGTGACTGCCACTGGTGGACAGTGAAAGAAAAAAGGGCAGCTGAGAATGGGAGGCAGCAAGCAGGCAGTATGAAAGACACAGAAGAAAGCAACGGCACGTGGAAAGTCCTCATGGCCAAAACAGAAGTTGGCTCTGGGTGAGGAAGGATGTTCTAGCCCCGCCCAAAAGGAAGAGTAGCATCCCAGGGGAATAAAAGAAAGTGAGGAAATTGCGTCCACTAGCCTCTTCTTTGTCAAAATGGAGGAAAGGGCCACTCTACGCATCCATAGACCATAAAGGGTGCTCAGGGTTTCAGAGAAGGGCACAAGGTTACAAATGGGAGGTGACTAGAGATAGGTGGAAGATTTGTAGTCATTGCTGAGGACCGAGGTGGATTCAGAAATCAGGTTTTATAGCATCATTCTCCCTGGATGGTACCTTTTTGCTGTTGTTGATTCTGAGACAGGGTCTCCCTTTGTTGCCCACGCTGCTTCTCAATTCACAAGCTCAGATGATCCCCCTCGCCCAAGGAGGTGCCAGGACAGCAGAAGTTTGCTTGCCCCGCCCCGCCCTGCCCGGGGTTTCAGTTCTCTGCAATGGTTCATGAGTGCAGGCCATGTCTGGCCTCCTGGGAGCAGAGACAGTGTGCGGAGACACAGCAGGGCAGCCAAGACAGGGGAGCACGTCCCACAGGTGAAGGGAGGCTGAGGCACTCAGGTGTCCTGGGAGGGCTGCGTACTCGCTCACCGTCTGTCCAAGCTAGGAAAGAGGTAACCCTCAGAGGGCCAGAGAGGAGCAGAAGAGGAAGGAGTGGAGGGCCACGAGGGTGCCTCTCCTTGAAGGAGCATCTGTCTCTATTTTGGCGGAGCCTGGCCCTGTGTCTGTGCACTGACCTGTGCAGAGCTGACTAGGACTTTTCTTATCCCTTCAATGGCTTTAAGCAATGCTTACTGCTCCAGCCGAGGAGCTGGTGGTGGTCTCTGAAGGTAGCAGGTATGTTTCCCAGGAACCCCCACCTGCTGTTCCCCTGTGAGCCGGGGTGAGGCGGGGTGAAGAGCCAGTGCTCCACAATGTCTGCTGGGACAGAGGCCTCAGAGTCTATGAATGCCTGGGGCCTGAGAGATTACATGTCAGAGCTGAAGCACGGGCCCCCAAACATTAGACATCGTCTCAGTTGTGAGCGCAGACTCCAGCTTCTGCGCGTCCTTCTCTGCACATTGCTCCGGGGACTTCAGGCCTCCTACCTAGCCCAGCTCACGGCACATACCTGCTCCAGAGACCGGCACAGCCACTCGTCCTCAAGCCTCTCCTTTCCTCATGAATGAACAAAATCCAGGCTCAGCCCTTGTTCCATCACTGTGGCTAGAGTTGGGGCCCCTGGCTCCCCACAACTACACATGTGCCTCAGTGTCTTTATTCTTGTAGTAGGTTGTGCTAGAAGTGGTAGAATGGAATTACCCTGATGGGATTCTAACAACTTCCCCATGGGATTACACATATTTGTTCCCTCCTGTTCCCGCCCCTCCCTTTCCTTTCCCCTCTCTTCTTTCTTTTTTCTTTTAGGCTGGGAACTGAACTTGCGACCTTCCACTTGACAGGCAGGCACTATACTGCTGATCTACATCCCTGGCCCTAGATCAAGACAAGGACCGGGAAGGGCTCTCTACAGAGGGAAGCAAGGAAACGAAACTGGAGAGATCCAGGAGGAGGAGGAGGAGGAGGAGGATAGGCACAGTGCTGAGGAGGAGGAAGAGCTGCTGTTCTTCTCCCTGGTTTACCTCCCACCTCCCTGGCCTGCATGCACACTGTGCAGAGCCCGTCTCGACCATCTCCCTGCCCTGGGCTGGCCCCAGGAGGTACCTGACACATGTCTAAGTGTGCAGCCTGCCAGCCACACCAGCTCATCATCTATTTCTGGTACTAGGAATTGAACTCAGGACCTCACAACGGCCAGGCAGGTGCTATGCTGCCGAGCTAAATCCCCAGCCCTCTCCACGCAGTTTTGCACAGGACACAGGGTAAGCAAGTTTTATAATACAGTTGAAGTGATATAAAAAATACAAAAGGAAGGTTTTGTGGTATAAATGTCACAGGATTGAAAGAGTCATGTTCAACCGAGGATCCCCGAGAGCTGTCCGAGTTCCCTGAGCACAGAGAGCAGCGTGGCAGAGAGGATGTGGCTGCTGAGCCCCACAGCTGGCCCAGTCCTGTAGCTCTACCTTACTTCCAGCCCAGCACCTGCGTCCGAGCAGCACACCATCTCTGACTGCACCCTTCCTTTTCTGAACCAGGGAGGCCATGTCCCCTGCACGCTCTCACCTCCCAGCTCTTGGTCGCAGGCTCACTGAAGAAGTTGTCAATCATATCCAGCTCTTCCTTTTCTACGACCACGAAGCCTTGCTCTTTGGCGTCTTTCCCATAGACGTCGGGAGACCACTGGACGAAGAACGTGTACAGGTGATCTACCCTGGAAAACACATTTGCGATGTGGGTTAACATCAGGTCAGAGAGGGACTAGCAGGGACTGGAAGTACCCACCATCTTCTTCCTTTTTGGCAAATTCACTTTGCTAACTGGGAAATTCCCCCCACACAAGGCTATCTTTATGAGAGACTTCCAAGACTGGAAAGTAAGAGCCAACCCATGAAAGCAAACAGCTGCAGGCTCTGAGAGACTGTTAAACTGTCCTCTGACCTGAGGAACACATCAAAAATGGGAGACAGAACTGAAAATCACAACAGAATACATACACTAAGTCTTTCTTGTTCATTGAGTCGTCTTGCACTGAATGACTCCTTGTACTCATGGAAGAAAAATGTTGATCTGGAACTTTATCCAGGAAAAAATACAAACCATAATCCAGTGGTCCTTAGGTGAGTCAAAGCTCTATTATGTAATGATTTTAATAAATATTTCTAATTACTACTATTATTGAGACAGTGTCTCACACAGTGCAGGATGTCCCTGAGCTCACTCCGTAGCTTGGGTGGCACTGAGCTCACTGTGATCATCCTGCCTCAGCCTCCCGAGTGCTGAGATTATCGGCTACACCAAGCTCAGCGCATCTCTGGTCATTAGAAAGTGCTGGGACTAATATTAGTTACGATCATAATCCTCGCGAAAGACCTAATCTTACTGGCAGAGCAGTGCACTTTGTAGCCAATTCCCTCTCTGCTTCCGTTTTCAGTCTCTACTGTTCTTGGCCCACTCTGCAGGGCACAGTGATGGCATTTCCCAGGGGAGCGGGCTCTGCACAGAATGCACCTCAACCTGTTTATGTCCCCTCTCCTCCCTCCCCCACTCCCCCATCTCATTCCTCCTTCTGGCTGCTGATCTCATGCACATTTGGGACAGGAAGTCCGATTTCCAGGTGTCACCAATGGGCAGGTGGCACCTTCCTGAGCAAAGACTGGAGCTCTGAGTTCCTGCTTGCAGTGTCCCTGGAGTGAGACAGCCACCACCTCTCAGGCTTAGATGCTGTGTGTCCTACACCTCAGAACAGGAAAGCACCACGTGTCGGACCACAAAATGATTCATGCCTCGTGATGGCTGCTCCATGAGACAGTGCTGATTTATCAGTAATTATGGAGAACTTATAATTATGTCAAATGGTCATAACAATACTAATGGGAACAAACAAAAACAGAAGTGTCACCCACAATCCTGACATTGAAAAGGACCACACTGTGCTAGGTTTGCATACCCCCAGCTGTCCACGGGCTACACACTTTCCGCATGGTCCTCCTCGTCCTTGGGGCAAGGCCACCCGTTACACGCATCATCACACACAGAGATAGCACCGTCAGCACACATGCATCGTTAACTGCTCTAACTTTCTGGATTCCAGCAAGCCGCAGAAGCTCACATCTGCATCTGCAAGAGACTTTCCTTCTACGAATAATGCTGTATTGAATTTCCACAGGCTACACCTTTTACCGTCCTTTGAGTTATTTTCTCAAGATTTGTTCCCAATCATTTCTAGTCCTTCTGGCTAAGATCGAAGGAAGATTATTCCCAGAAAGGGGATTAATGGGCCAAAGGACATGATTTTATATTGGTGACTGATCTTACAAGTTTTGAAAGGCCATTACTCATACTGTAGGTGTTTCCTAACAGCCTTGCTTACCTTTTGGGTAAAACAAGTTTGCTCTATTTAGTTTTACCTGACTCATTTTCCGTCTCAGGTTGAACATTCTTTTGTGAATGGGCTCTGTGCTTTGCAACATCAGTATTTTTCTTTTCAATATAATGGAATCTTTTTGTAACATAAACATTAATCACTATCAAATTTGTTTCTAAGTGGTTGTTTTTTTCCTAGTAATTATGTACCCTCCCATAGTTCAGAATTATAAATTTCATATATTTTAAAGGTATATTTCTTTTCAGAGTTCTCCTTCAAATGGAAGGAAGTTGTCACCAAATGTATCTGCGCTGGCATGCTAATTTCTACTACAATATTATGGGTGTGGATATATGTGTTGATTGTGTGGGGCTCAGATGCGGAAGTTTCCATTTAACGAGGCCCTGTATCCGGTTCTGTCCCACAGCGGCCTCCCACTGCCCTGAGGGTGACTTCCTACACGTGGCTGACACTCTGATTGCCAGACTTCAGCAAAGATCACCCTGCAACAGTGTGTAGACCTCTTCCCAGGAGGGTGAAGAGGGCCTTAGGAGAAAAGACCTGGGTCCTCCAACAGGGGGACCTGGGCTTTCAACATCCCTCAGACTTGACTCTGCAACAGTGGTGACATGTCCACCCTTCTGGACCATCCTGAAAACGTGGGTTTCACCATGTATCACAAGCACAAGAATCAATTCCTTAAAACCAACAACCAACAACCAACAGCCTGCTTTATTCTGAATGCATCCTACTGGTATTGCTTTGGACAAATACAATGGACTCTAAAAGGTAATATGGGAAACTGATCAAAATGCTTAAGAAAACATTGGGTTAAAAGATACAGTATTCTCTATCATACACATCTTTAAATTAACTTTTGGAATAACAGTATATTTATACAACAAGCATCAACATTCTTTTTTTTTTTTTTTTGCGGAACCGGGGATTGAACTCAGGCCATTGGGCTTGACAGGGAAGCGCTTATTCTACTGAGCCATCTCCCCGGCCCTCAGCATTCATTTTTGAGTCTCGCTATGTCATGCAGGCTGGTCTTGAATTCACTACGTGGCTCAAGCTGGCCTTAAACTCAAAGGCCCCTGCTGCCTCAGCCTCCTGGAGTTATAGGTATATGCCATTATCAAGATTATTTGAAAAGCCACTTCCACGCAGGGCATAATGTGCATGCCCATAGTCCCAGTGCTTGGCAGATTGACACGAGGGGAAGGACTTGAGTCTGAGGTCAGCCTAAACTATATAGTGAGAACCTGTCTCAAAAAAACCAAAAGCAAAACAAATAAAACATCGTTTTCTTCTCATATCCTGACCCACCTCCCAAATAAAGGTGATCACTTTGTTTCCTGGGTATGCAGCAGTATGTACACAGACGTAAGCACGGGTAGGTACCCTTTTCGTCTTCCCCTCTTCATTTCTGTGTTCTCTATATCATTTTTTTTCACTTAATAATGTATTTGATGTCTTTCCACACCAGTAAGTGGACAGCTTCCTCGTTCCTTCCATCCCAGTCACACGGTACTTTGCCACATACACTTACCGTAGTTTATGTTATCACCCTCTATAATTAAACATTTGAGGTGTTTCCAAGTCTGTCCTGTCATAAACGTGATGCGTTCACTGTACGAGTGTCATTTCAATGTGCACAACGCACTGCATTGCAGGATGCGTTCCCAGAACTGTGATGATGCTGTCACAGAAACAGTGCACATGGTTCAGCTCCATAAAACTAACGCTGTCTCACACTGGGCCATCCTGTGCACGGATAGCCTCACTTCTGTCCTCTGAAGTCCCTAGCGCGAACTGAGAAAATGTGAAATAAATCACCAGCCCAATAGGCTGGGTAAGTACACAATTCCAACTGTCTTTTCTATACTTAAAAATCTGATGCATATTAAATGTATTTTGGAGTACAGTCAAAGCCAAGTATGTGTCATCCTAACTTTTGAAAAAGGAGACATTATCTGTATAGTGACAGCAGACAAGATTCCAAAGCAGTAAACACAAACAGGTTCCCGTGAGCCAGAGGGAGCAAAGCCCGGAGCCCTGAGATGCGTCTATGTCCGACACCCACTCTCCTTTGAGGTTCACCGTCATTACCGCTTCTCCGATGAGTCCAGGTGGCCCTGACAGAGGCAAGCCCACAGGAGCGACACCCTTCTCCTCTCCACCATCCCTGGGGGAGCCTTCCCAAGCGTGCTGGGAGGATTGCTCAGCCTTGTGGGATTGTTCTAGGGGCAGAGCAACTTGGGCTGGGTGTGCTGCTGCTGCTGCTGCCGCTGCTGCAATCTGACACGGCCCCTGCCACTCGGGCATGGACGGCGTCCACACACGTGAGCTGCTCGGGAACCGGGGCAAGTCCAGCGGCCAAGGCTGCCCTTCGCACTGCACTTCTACTGACCGCAGCAGGGGTCTGTAGGCAGGAGGAGGTGTTCTCCAACTGTCACACAAGAAAGGCCCAGCGCCACAAACACCTCGCATGACAGAGCAACATGTCTGAGTCAGTGCTACCGAGGACACCGTGCCTCTGGCCACCAGGTCCTCACACTGCACAGCGACGTTCTGAGGGAAGGGTGTCTGTGCCCAGCAGACAGATACAGGAGCTGAGGCTCTGGGAGGCTGAACACGGTGCACGAATGCCCCACGGAAAGGAAGGCCCAGTCAGTTCACGCTGATGGCCTTTTTAAAAATGCTGAACTCCAAGGAGCACAGCACCGTTGCCGTCTGCCTGTCTCACATAAGCGTGGGTCGCTTCCTTGCTTGGCTTCAAGCTCTACTGCTGAGGCTGAGTGTACCTCAGCAAGCTGTCCTGGTGGCCAGGCAGCAGTGCTCCTCAGTGCCTGTCCTGGTCCCACACTTCCCTGGCTGGCATGTAACTCCATCCCCAGGACCCTGAGCTCTCACACGGGACGTGCTGGGCAGCCATCATGGCTCTCCTCGTGCCTCAGGTGGTGGCTGTTTTCATAGAAACAGAGCTTCCCTGTCCACACAATTTTCCTTGCCTCAAGTAAAATGAGATGGGAAACTTCAAAGGTAAGTTCTGCAGCGGGGCACCCTGAGGAGCAGGTTCACTCTTTTCTCTCTAGATACTGCATTCTGGGCCTTGACCTCCTCATTAAAGAGAATGTCCCACAGAGCACTCCCTGGTCCTCTCACAAGGGTCTCCCACTGTCTCAGAAAGAAAGGGCCTTCACTCTATGGAAGGAATGAAGGATTAAAAGGACCTCCTCCACAGGAGACAATAAATGTTCATTTAGATTCAATCTGCTTACTTTGCGAAGGCTCCCAATGGAAGCAGCAGCTGGCCCTCCTGCCAGCTCTCCTGGGCTCAAGCC